GGCCAGGAGCAGACTTGCAGAATGTGCCCTTTGGAGATGTAAATTATTATATATGCCTGAGTGGGTTTTTGTTATGTTTTTTTAAAAAGCTAAAGTGGATAGAAAGGAATACTGTTAACTGATGGTACATGGAGGGGATTATAATCATTGTAATGAAACAAGGTGTATGATTTGTTGAATATAAAACTGATGCTATGCCCTGCAAACTTTCACTCAATCCACAATAAAAACCTTGAAAAAAAAGAAAAGACTGACCTTAATTTCAGGAAACACAAATATGGGAAAGATGGAGCAGATACTAAGGAAAAGATAAAATTGGCCTTTTGAAGATAGACTTTTTTGCCCTTTTCCAGATCATATTTCTTTGTTGATGAGGAATAACAACAATTAAATTAAACCAATAATCACAAATCCAAAGCTGTAGCTCTCAAATATGTAGGTCTGAGGTTCCCGGTCACTGAAACCTATCTCAAGTGGTCCAAGAGAGAGTCATGCATGCTGTCAACAACTTCCAGGCCCAATCTGGGCCATCAAACCACTTTTCCTTCCTCACATTCAGTTTTAGTTGACTTCAGGAAGGCAGGCAAGTTGAGCTGTGTAGGAAGAACAGGATGTGTGTGAAGCTAACTCTGAGGCAGTTCTCAAGCCAAGGAACACCTTGATGAGAACTGCAGAGAAACCTTGTTTGCCAAAGATTATGGGAATGAACACACTGACCAGGTGGTTGGAGGAGACGTCTATAATGAGGAGAAAACATTTGTGCCTGACTCTTATCAAGATAATAATAAACTTTAGCTTTGGTGTGCTGCCTGAATATGCGTCCTGCCTAAGATTGTACTTAAAGCTGTATTGTAGGTAATAAGCTCGCTCTTGACTGACCCTCTCAAGTCCCCTGTGGCTTTCATTCCCTGTCCACCTCAGGAGATCGCCCACCCCCACCCCCATGCAGGCTGGTCCTGCAGAGCTGGACCAATTGGACAACAACAACAAAAATGTTGATCAACAAGCCTGGGCAGCCCTGGGATTCTTACCATCACAATATGCTCTGTGATGAAGAGAAGAATGTGTCTGGGGTCAGCTGTGAACATCCCACAGTGCAGCTTCTCTACCAGCTTCTGTATGAAGTACGAGATGTTTGTGAGGGGTGGAGTGGTAGCAGATTCTGCTTTGGGCTCAGGTTTCTTATTGCCTGTGATGAGAAGACCAAGTATGAAAAATCATCCCTCTTGCTAATGAGATTGCCCTCAAACATGGAGACTTGTCCATAGTAGAAGCCCAATGAAATAACTGATCTTTAATAATTTGTTTAGTGATGCAAAGACAAGTGGAGAAATAGCAAGTGAGGGAAGCATTTCTTCCAGAGGTCGTCTGGAAGGAGGGTGGGGTTAATTTAAGGTAAATCCTAAATAGGAAGACTGCATGCTGACTAGAACCTTCTGTTATGCTGGGCAGATGATAAAGTCGGGGTCTCTTATGTGCTCTGATATGTATGTGACCATTTTGTCAACATTTACAATGATTTATGAACTAGACTAAGCTATTAGCCTCTCTTTATAGGATCAAGCCATTGTCTAGAGTTTCCTTATTCCCTAGATATGAACCCAGATCTGGGATTGCCAGCCATGCTCTCCATCACTGTCCAGATAACCCACAAGAAAGGTCACAAAGTAAGAGTTGAAGGACTGTGAATTGTGGAGAAACCCAGATGAGTTGAGCCACTAGGGATTTCTATGGTTCAGAAACCACAGGAAGGACTTTTGTTTAATCTCATCAAGAAGTTATAGTTAACCTGGAACTAAGTCTTCTGGATGAAGCTTCAACCTTAATTCTTAGGGGCAACAGAGTATTCATCAAGGTTCCTTCATATAAAAAAACATTTGCCAGAGCAGTAGGAACAAAGAATAAATCACTGAGCAGAAGAATGACTGCATTCTAAAATCTTGACTTCCCTTTTGGGAAATTTCTATTGAAGCTAGAGGAGAAGAGACTTTAGCTCAGAAGACAGAGAGCTTTCAACCTCAGAGGGGCTGGGCAATAAAATGGTTGTCATGGACACTCATGCTTCCATGAGTTTATGGAGCAAAAACTGTGGTATAGTGAAGCCTCATATGGAGTGTGGCATTGAATGGCTTCTAAAGTTCCAAGGATTCTCTGGAAAGCTGTGACTGGCAGGGCAGTTTTGCTTTCCTGGTCAGCTGCCATTAGCCACATGTCAGAAGGGGTAGGGACAATGTCCCTGGTACTTACCTCCTAGTATCAGTGCATTGCCTTCAGTCATTGTGTGAAATATCTCCATGGTGGATAGAAGGACCTCAGACTGGAAGTTTCGCTTCTGTTGGCTAGTGACATTGTCTGGAGAAGCCTAGAAACACCACATGGGATTGAATCAGCAGCTGCATAGTCAGGTCCACTCAAATACTGCATGGGATGCTACTGCCCATGGTGCTATGTCATTTGTTTGCTGCTTCATCTATCAGATGCCATGATAATGAATTGCTTCCTGAGTCATTGGACCTCTGATGACCTACCTGCCTTACTCAGGAGGTAACACACACTTTCTTGGGTAAGGGACCTAAGGGGAAGCCCCCAGTCAGTGATCATGGAGGAGCTTCAATGTGGACCAATACTGTGGCACAGGTTCCATGCCTATGCTCCCTTGTGACTAGGTTGCAGCCAGTCTCCAACTGAGATCATAGCTTGGTTAGATTCTTCCCTGTTCATTCTGGTTCCTCTCCTGTCTGCCTGAGAACAACTCCCCACCACCACATAAATAACTTCCATAAAATTCCCACCTCAGGCTCTGTTTTTAGGGACCCTGGCTAACTCATCTATTTATCAGTTGCTTGATGAGCTTCTGAGCACATCAGATCTCACCACCATACTGCTGAAGGCTGAGTTAGTACCTAAGACAAGGATTAGTCCACCTAAGAAACCCAGACCTTGGGTTTCTTTATCATCTCACCCACTACTAGCCCCTAATGCTTCTCCCATACCCAAGAGCCAAGAAAGCCTCTTATGACCTACCTCCAAGAGCACATCCAGCACCAGCCAATGCTTGGGGGAGGAGGCCGTTTTTAGAAGCTCCCTCAAGAGGAGCTTTGTGAACTCTCTTAGTTGTTTTTGGGTAGGATGCAGATTGGAAGTAGCCTGGGGACTCTCCACAGCATTGTAACCTTCAGTTGTGGCCATAGGACTACTAGTATTCCAGGTGGATTTAGCCAAGGACCCCTCAAAGACAAAAAACAAAAACAACACTAAAGCAAGACGTATGGCCTGCCCTGTCTCAAGGCCTTTACATGACTGTCTCTACGATATGCACAGGTGGGATGGTCATGACAACCAGTGAACAAGTAAGGAAACTGACGCTCTCAGAAGTGAGGTGACTTGCCCAAGTTTCATTGCGTATACAGTGGTACACTGTGTTTTCTGAACGTGAGACAAACTAGTATCCTGAAAAGAAGCTAAGTCACAAAATCAGTGGCCTGTGATGCTCTGAAAGGAGGCCCCAAAGTACCCTTGCACAAATCAATTCACTCGTCTTTGCCACAGCTCCTCATGGATTAAATGGAATAAATAAGAATGATATTATAAAGAATTTGTGAGAATGGAATGAAAGAACTATGCATGTGGCTGTATTCAACTTCTGGAATACAGTTGTAAAAATTGGTCTCTGTCTTTTAGTGGAGACTTCACTTCCCCTGCCTGTTTCCCAGCTGATGCTGACAGATAGAACCCACAGGTGAGAAAGATGGTAAAAGAGGACTTAGGTGAGCTCTTTCATCTAAGTCCCCGAAGTGCTTTGACATTCACTTTCTCACTTTATATTTATAAAAAACATTGGGAAACAAATGAGACAGGAATCCTTGCCCAGATACATCCAGGAGGGAATAGAGGTGCTAGGAGGCCAAATGACACATCCAAGGACACATGGTCAGGGACTCCTGACTCCCAGCCCCATGAACTTTTCATGTGAGTTCATCTATTGGCACCTCCCTTTGCTCATTCATAAAATTAATGCAGCTATTCTTAATTAAGCCATAAAATGAATTTAATGGCACCTAGGGGGATGGTGACTGTATTAATTAGCTCTGGGTGGACTTCAATGGAAAGATGCTATATAAATTCAAAGCAAATCAAAGTCTTTGTGCCAGTCTTCTACATGAATACTGTTAGGTGGATTTTCTATCTGACAAAGGCTTGCTGAGGAACAAACACGGAGCTGAAACAAGCAAGGAGGAGTGGAAAGAAGAGCTTTAAATTTGGAGCCAGGAGACTAACATAGAACCTGACTCTGCTGTGGTTGGCTAGGTAGGTGACTTTGGACCAGACCCTCTCCTGTGCAGAAACTGCTGACCTCCTATAGGGAGGAAGAGCCCAGGATCAGAGTGTGTGCACAGCTGCTGGTGGGAAGCCAGATGGAAGCCAAATCAGCAGATGGCGTGTTGTGAGGGGCAGAGATGGGGATTTAAGTTGAGAATGTCAGTTCATGGATTTCGGAGCCCCAGCCCCTACACAAAACTCATGTTGGGGGACAGTAAGATAAGCCTGTAGTATTGTCTTGCCTCCCTGCTACTCACCTTGGCTGTGTGTGACTATGGGATGTCCCACCCTTATCCCCTCCACTGCTACCTGCAATTCTTTCCTTTGCTCTTAATTATACCACTTCCCCAAATCTTTATTTTTGCATAATTATCCTTTACATCAAATCATTTTATCTTTTTGAAAATCTGATGTCTTTATATTTAATTTTTATCCTAAAACATTTTTTTGGCCATTTAATTTTATTTTAAACTGATTGTCATTGCAAACTTGGGTTTTGGGTAACAGTTAGCTTCATATCCTGACTCTGTCATTTATTATTGTTGGTAGGTTCCAATTCATAGGAACTTTATGCACAACAGAATGAAACAATGTGTCATCTTCACAATCTTTGTTCAGCTTGAGTCCATTGCTGCCACTATGACAAATCATCTCGTTGGGGATCTTCCTCTTTTTCGCTGACCTTTCGTTTTACCCAGCATGATATCCTCCTGGGACTCACCAACCTGGCCTAAGTAGCATTCTGGTTGTACTTCTTCCAATTCAGATTTATTTGTTCTTCTGGCAGTTCATGGATTGCTAATATACTTCTCCAACACCATAATTCATATGTGTCAATTCTTCTGTGGTCTTCCTTATTCACTGTCCAGCTTTCACATGCATATGAGGCTATTGAAAATATCATGGTTTGGGTCAGGCACCACTTACTCCTCAAATGATATTTTTGCTCTTGAACACTTTAAAGTGGTCTTGTGCAGCAGATTTTCATAATATAACATACTGTTTGATTTCTTGGCTGCTGCTTCCATGAGTGTTGATGGTTGATCTGAGCAAAATGAAGTAATTGACAACTTCAATCTTTTCTCCATTTTTCATGATGTCATTTATTGGTCCAGTGGTAAATATTATTGTTTTATTTACACTGATGTACAATCCATACAGAAGGCCATGGTCTTTGATGTTCATCAGTAATTGTTTTAAGTCCTCTTCACTTTCAGCAAGTAAGGTTGTATCAGCTGCATACTGCAGATTGTTATTGTGTCTAATTTTAATCCTAATGTCATGTTCTTCTTCATATAATCCAGCTTCTCAGATTCTTTGCTCAGCATACAGATTGAACAAGTATTGTGAAAGAACACAACGCTTTTGCACACCTTTCCTGATTTTAAATCATTCAACGTCCCCTTGTTCTCTCTGAACAACTGCTTCTTGGTCTATATACAAGTTCTTCATGAGTACAATTAAGTGTTCCAGAATACTCATACTCTGTAATTTGGTTTATAGTTTCTCATGATCCACATAATTGAAAGCCTTTGCATAGTCAATAAAGTGCAGGTAAACATCTTTGGGGTATTCTGTTTTCAGCCAACATCCATATGATGTCAGCAATAATATTCCTTGTTCCATGCTGTTGTCTGATTCTGACTTGAACACCTAGAAATTCCCTGTTAATGTACTGTTGCAGCTGTTTTAAAATTATCTTTAGCAAAATTTACTTGCATGTGATAATAATGATATTATTGGATGATTTCTGCATTCTGTTGGATCATTTCTCTTTGGAATGGACACAAATATGGATCTTTTCCAATCAATTGGTCAGGTAGTTGTCTTCCAAATTTTTTGACATAGATGAGTTCTCCATTAGCTTGTTGAAAGGTTTCAATTTGTATTCCATCAATTCCTGGAGCCTTGTTCTTTTCCAGTATTATCAGTACAGCTTGAAATTCTTCCTTCAGTACCATTTGCTCTTGATCATATGCTATGTCTTGAAATGGCTGAACATCAACCATTTCTCTTTGATACAGTGACTCTATGTATTCCTTCCATCTTATTTTGATGTATTCTGCACCATTCAATATTTTGTCCATAGAATCCTTCAATATATCAAGTCAAGGCTTGAATTTTTCTTCAGTTCTTTCAGTTGAGAATTGCTGAGCATGCTCTTCCCTTTCAGTTTTCTAATTCCAAGTCTTTGCAAATTTCATTATAATACTTGATTTTGTCTTCTCAAGTTACCCTGTGAAATTTTAGGTTCAACTCTTTTACAGCCTCATTTCATCCATATGCGTTAGCATCTGTACACTGGAGAGCAAGCTTCAAAGTATATTCTGACATTTGTTTTGTATTTGTTTTGGTATTTTTCTTCTTTTGCTTTTTTCCTGTATGATAACCTTGGTTATCCTAAATCTCTCCTGGTCTTCAATCATTAGTGTCTGTTCTTGAGCTGATCTCTAAAGTCAGGTTCATGGTCAAATTTTGGCTCTCATAGACATGTTTTAATTTCTTTCAGCTTTAGCCTGAATTTGCATATGAGCAAATGATTGTCTTTTACACAGTCTGATACTGGTATCATTTTGATTGATGATATGGAGCTTTTCCACTGTGTCTTCCCACAGATGTAGTCAGTTTGATTTCTTTGTATGCCATCTGGTAAATTCCATGTATATAGTGTCCTTTTATGTTGTTTATAAAAGGTATTTGCAATGAGCAAGTCGTTGGTCTTGCAAAATTTTATCATGTGATGTCCAGCAAGGCCATATTTTCCAACTATTGATCCTTCCTCTTTGTTTACAACTTTTGCATTCCAATCACCACTAATTATTAATAAATCCCGATTGCATATTTTATCAATCTCATACTGAAGAAGTTGGTAGAATTCTTCAATTTCATCATCACTGGCTGTAGTGGTTGGTACATAAGTTTGAATAATAGTGGTATTAACTGGTCTTCCTTGTAGGTGTATTTGTACTATTCTATCATAGACAACATGATACTTCAAGATATATCTGAAATGTTCTTTTTGAATGATGAACATGACACTATTCCTCTTCAAAATTTCATTCCATGCATTGTAAACCATATGACTGTCATATTCAAAGTTGCCAATACCAGTCCATTTCAACTCCCTAATGCCTAGGATATTGATTTTTATGGATTTCATTTCTTTTTTGACAACTTCTAATTTTCCTAGATTCATCCTTTGTACATTGCATGTTCTGGTTATTAATGGATGTCTTCCTGGTATGGTGCTATAGGATAACCACTGGACAGTGAACCACAAGGTCAGCATATTAAACACACCAGATGCCCCTCAGAAACCCTATATGTTGTGGCTCTGAACCACCTCAATGGTATTTAACAACAAGAGCAGTTCAGATGAGGGCCTGGAACCAGGGCTATCATTGCTGATGTCACATGGATCTTGGATGATAGCAGAGAATACCAGAAAGATGTTTACCTGTGCTTCACTGACCAAACAGAGGATTTCCAATGTGTAGATCATGACCATCTATGGACGATATCGTGGAGCATCAGTGTTCCAGAACACTTAATTGTGCTCATGTGGAACCTGTACACAGACCAAGAGGCAGTAGTTCAAATAGAACAAGGAGACACTGAATGGTTTAAAATTAGGAAAGCTGTGTCCCAGGACTGTGTTCTTTCACCATACTTATTTGAACTATATGCTGAGCAAATAATTAGAGAAGCTGGATTATATGAAGACAAACATGGCATCAAGACTGTAGGAAGACTCATTAAGAACACGCAACATGCAGATGATGCAACTTTGCTTTCAGAAAGTGAAGAGCACTTAAAGTACTTACTGATGAAGATCGAAGACCTCTGGTATGGGCTGCACCTCAATGTAAAGGAAATAAAAATCCTCACAACTGAAACAATAAATTACATCAACAAAACTGGAGAAAAGATTGAAGTTGTTAAAGATTTCATTTGCTTAGATCAACCATCATCACTCATAGAAGCAACAGCCAAGAAATCAAATAATGTAGTGCATTATACAAATCTGCTACATAAGACCACTTTAAAGCATTCAAGAGCAAAATTGTTAGTTTGAGGACTAAGTTGTGTCTGACTCATATGATGGTATTTTCAATAACCTAATATGCATGTAAAACTTGGACAATGAATAAAGAAGACCATAGAAGAATTGATGCATTTGTTATGATATTAGAGAAGAATATTAAAAGTACCATGGAATGCCAGAAGAACAAACAAATCTGTGTTGAAAGAAGTATAACCATAATGCTCATACTTCAGACATATTATCAGGAGGGACCCATCTCTGGAGAAGGACATCATACTTGGTAAAGTAGTTAGCAAAAAAGAGGAAAACCCCAATGAGATGGATTGACACCGTAACAGCCACACTGGGCTTAAGTGTAGCAATGAGTGTGAGATTGGCACAGGACTGGGCAGTGTTTTGGTCTGTTGTGCATAAGGTTACTAAAAGTTGGTATCGACTCAATGGCACCTAACAACAAGAAGACAGCTTTTTCTCCACATTTTGCATGGTGCACCATAAACAAATGAAGGTCTTCACAGGTTTACTCCATTCATTTCATCATGGTCAACTCTATTTTGAGGAAACATCTCTCTCTAGTCAAATTTTGAGTGCCTTCTTCTATATCTGACAATGTTCTGGTGCTATTCATCATGTTTCAATATTCAATATTCTGGTGCTACCTGACAGTGTTTCACTGCTATTGAAAATGTTTTCAGGGGCTAAACATTCAGAAGTAGTCTGCCTCTCCTTCCTCCTAGTCGTTCCAAGTCTGGAAGCTCAACTGAAATCTGTCCACCACGGGTGTAACCTTCTGGTATATAAAATACCAGTATCACAGCAACATTCAAGTCACCACAATGCAACAAACTGACAGATGAGTGGTGGTTGTGTGCCATGAAGTCAGTTTCTCCAACAGAGCAGCTGATAGATGAGAACATTGACCTTGCAGCCCAACTTGTAGCCCACTACATTACCAGGGCTCCTTCAGGTTGGGCATGCAGTGGTTGCTTAATAAGTATTTGTTCAATGACCTAATGAGTCATTTAGCTAATATCTTTCCAGATGTGTATTTGTGGTGACAACTTCCATTCAGTGGAAATATCACTAGGAAATATCAGTCCTGAGCCTGGCCCTGTCCACATGCCTAAATAATTAACTGTTACATCCATTCTATGAAGCTGATGTCATTAAGAGCAAACTGAAATTCAGAGGAACACAGTGGTACTGGCTAATGTGCTTGGGTCAAATGGGGTTGTATATCTGGAAAGAAATTAGCTAATAACATATTCATTTACTCATTAGGTCATTTAACAAATACTTACTAAGCAACCATTACATGCCCAGCACTAAGTAGCTTGGTAGCATAATGGATTATGGGTTAGGCTGATAACTGCAAGATCAGCAGTTCGATCTATTAGCTACTCTACTGGAGAAATGTGAGGCTTTCTGCTTCCGAAAAGATTTACAGCCTTGGAAACCCTATACAGGGGTCACTATGAGTCACAGCTAACTCCATGGCACACAAGCACCACCATCACTACATGCCCAGCACTATCCTTGGCATATATCATAACTATGCTACATACCATTTTGCCATTCTAGTATCTTCCTTTAGCTATGGTTATCAATTTTCAGTTAGGAATCACTAACTCCCTCTCCCTCTCTGTGACTCTGATTCCTAATCTATCATAGTGGGGGTAGACAAGTGTCTCTGCCCTCTTTTCTGTACCTGAATTTCCAAGGCCTCATAAACAATAATTGTTGGGGCCTCTTCCCTACTAAGAACTGTGCTAAGATGCCCCGATCTTGTCCATCCTAGTCCCTACTTAAAGCACGAGCCCTTGAAATCAGGGCTGGCCACCATTCCAGCTCCATCTCACGCTCCAAGGTACTTCTTAGCCTCCTTTAATCACATGGTGATTCTGACTCAGCCTTACCTTACTTGCATTCTCAACTCAAAATAATACCATCTTTCCATAATCCTTTCTATCCTCCCCAACACTCATACCTTTATCCCAAGACCCAAGTCAATCTCTGCCTTCTTGAGCTCAACAAACCCCTCTGACTGAAAGGAGACATTGAGTCATGACCTGAGGGTCCTGAAAACAGGAGAAGTGTCCTGAAAACAAAAGGAATCCCAGGAAATTATTTCTGTATTGTCTCTACCCCAACGCCCTGTCAACAAGCTTCCTAGAACAAGACTTGTTACTTCACTTTATCAGTGTATGGGTGGGTATTACATACAGAATTGGACTTCATCTACCATCAAATTTCTCATTACTGAGATTCCTAACAACTCAATAAGTTATTGAATTTCAGAGCTGAAAATGACCTCAAGCTGCATTGCAGTCAAGAAAATTATCCAAGTTGCTTGCTTAATGTTCCAGTCAAGTTACCTTAAAATGCAAATGCTTTTTGAAAAAAAAAAAAAAAAAAGTAAGTTAGAGAAGTATCTCTGTATATATTCTGAAGTCATCAAGAACGTGTTGGAGATCAAATACCTGAAATAAGCTCTGGACTTTGATTAAAAAAAAAAAAAGTATTTAATTTAATTTCTTTTTTATGGGGGAGCCAAGGGAGGAATTCTGCTTTCATCCTTGGGGAATGAGGAAGCACACCTTCCGCTCTTCCTGGGGTACGGCAGGGGGAATTCCTACCTTTTGGATTCCCAGAGGGAAGGTGACTGTGACCAAAGTCTGAAGAAACTCTGGGGCATGCCACATGGGATCCTGGGGATAGGCATGGAGGACGAGGCCCAGGAATTGCAGCATGCTGGTCGCTAAGGTCTGTTCCCAAGTGCCATCTTCAGAACCTGTCAAGGGCTAAGAACATGTTTCATGTGAGGTTGGGGTATGGGAACATGACTTCAGGATGCATAACTAAGCAAAAGCAACTGAAACCAGAGGAAAGCCTCCTCACTGAGACTTTGAACAGGCACATTATTGCAAGACATCTAAGATTATGGGGCAACACAGGATATTGGTAAATATGTGGGGAGTGGTTTAAGATGTACACAGCTCTACTCTGAGCCACATTACCATGAGTAGGTGTCAACTTGACAGCAACTGGTTTGGGGGAGTACCTTAGTAGTCTAAAGGGTAGAACACTTGGTTGATAACTAAAAGATTGGTGGTTCGAGTTCACTTAAAAGTTACTTGGAAGAAAGGCCCGGTGATATACTTCCAAAAATAAACTATAACTCTATGGAGCACAGTTCTACTCTGACACACATGGGTCACTATAAGTCTGGGTGACTGCTTATAATACATGTGGCCATTTTTCTAAGGGCTTTATATATTTGTCTATTACTCTTCTTACCTTGACAACAACCCTCTGAGGCAGATGTTATGTTTACCCATTTTATAGATATGAACACTGAGTCACACAGAAGTTAAGTAACGCACTGAAGGGTAGAGCCAGGAATGGATCACAGGCGGGGCAACCTGGCTGCAAAATCTCTTTGTCCTCCCTACATGAATGCTTAGACATACCCTAAGGAGTGCATGCATCTGTAGGGTAAGCACTAGACTAAAAACCACAAGGTTAGCAGCTGGAGTTCACCAACTGCTCCACAGGAGAAAGATGAAGTTTTCTGCTCCCACAAAGATTTACAGCCTAAGAAACCCTATACAGGGTCACTGTAAGTAGCAACTGACTCAATAGCAGTTACAACAATCACAGGGAGAGCTGGTATCATGATGGGTTATGAGCTTTACTGCTAACTACAAGGTCAGCATCTTGAATTCACTTGTCATTTCATGGGAGAAAGATGGGACTTTCTGTTCCCATACAGATTTATAGCCTTGGAAATTCTATGTAGGGTTTCTATGAGCCAGAATTAACTTAATGACACACAGTTACAACGTGTACAATGAACTTGCCCACTAGCAGTATCTCCTGCTTTCCACAGGCAATGCTGATACTCCAACAATAGATTCTGTCATGGCTACTTCCGGCAACCTCTTTCTGAGGTTAGCAGTGCTTGGGCCATCCAGTTATCACCAGACAGGGCTCTGAAATAAATCATGTTGCACTGTGCCAGCACCCAGTTGTCTGTGGTGGCCTGAGCACCTGCTCACCCTTGTCTTCCACCTGGCCTTGGCCACATGGCTGGACCTTCTGCCTTGAATCCCTGACTCTGTCCTGCTAGAAATGCACTAAATGCACTAGTTAAACTAGTCCTTGCCAAGCCACTATCTCCAAAGATTGACCCCAATCCCAATATATCCAGCTGCTGTGTAAGGTCTACTATGTCCTAAATGAACATCTGGCACTTTAAAAGTGATTATCAGGACGATTTCTTGACTAGCCACTCCAATGCCAATGCTGAGTGACATCCAGCTTACTCTTGAGGACACCACAATGTGGATATCAGGCCCTTCCTTTGGGAGGCCAATTGCTCAGCTCCAACCCTTGCAAGCTGTGGTCTTTGGTCCTTGCATAGTCTACTTCAATTGAAGTTTCATGCTTACAGAAAACTACTAATTACCTAAAACTGTGCCTCACACTGGGAAACATAAATTCAACTATAGAAAGAAAGACAACACATATGAGACAACTAGTGAAAAATCTAAAATCATATTTACAGCACCGGTGTCAGGAAAGACTGGTGTGGCTTGACCGGCAGGCAGAATTAATATTTCTGAAATCATCTGTTTCTGAGTTTTCTATTATTAGTTCCACCATGTCCTTACAGTACAATATTAGGCATACAAAGCAGTGTGAGCGTTAAGAAAGCTTTTTCTGGATTGAGTTTACCTGGTTAAAAATTCCACCTCTGCATTAAGAGTGAACCTCTGGCCCCATTCCTTAATCTCTATATATCCCCAGTTATTGTTGTTAAGCGCCATCAAGTCAATTGCGACCCATGGTGACCCTATATAGTGTTTCCAAGGAGCAACTGGTGAGCTTGAACGACCAACCTTGTGGTTCAAACTGACTTTGCAGCACAGTGCATTAACCCACAGTGCCACACAAAATAAAATCACATATAACCTATTTACTAAGGGTACTATGAGGATTAAAGGAGACATTTTAGTGATTCATGCTTATTTTCACAGTAACTTTGGACTCTACAGCAACTAGCAACAACAGTAATATAAATACAGGCAAATCTGATAGATAAGGTCAGATAGATAAGGGAAATCATATATGTTTTCAAACATTTGGAAGAGGAATTTGACTTGATGTATCAGGAACCAAGGATTCTTGGAAGTTCTTAAACATGGTGGTAACCTGTATGTTATGCTAATTCTGGACAACCATCTTGCTCTTTGATATCCCTTGAATGAGTTAGCCCTCATAGCTTCCATTTCTACATTAGAACAATGAGGATGTTGCTGTTGTTAAGTGTCATTGAGGTGGTTCTGACTCATAGTGACCCTGTACTGGGTTTCCAAGGAGTGACTGGTGGTTGTTAGTAATCCAGCACTTATTCAACAGTGCTGCACTTGGACTCCACAATGAGGATGGTTGCTATTGAGTGTCTTTGAACTGGTTCTGACAGTGGCCTTATCTAGGGTTTTCTAGTTGTGGTTGGTAGGTTTGAATTGCCACCTTGTAGTTCAAACTGACCTTGCAGTCCATCCTTCAGAGCCACATCAGATGAGGATAGTGCTGTCTATTTCAGAGCATTATTGCACATGACAAAATGATTGAAATTATAATGTAAAACATTGGCAAGGATGTGGAGTAACTAGAACTCTTCCAGAATAATTGCTAGTAAGAATATAAATTAGTATATCCACTTTGGAGCGCTATTTGACAATACCCATAAAGCTTACAATACATACAATATTCATACAATATCCATATGTATGCCTTGCTGTTGTTAAGTGCCGTCAAGTCAGTTTGACTCATAGTGACCCTGTCTAGGGTTTGTGAAGAGTGGCTGGTGCATTTGAACTGCCAAACTTGCAGTTCAAACTGATCTTATGGCTGAGTACTTATCCTACAGTGCCACACCATAACTCTTAACCCAAAATTTCACTTTTGGGTGTACATACTACAGATAGGAATACATATGTCCAATCAAGGATGCATATAATAATGTTCACAGCCATAATATCCATAATATTTCTAAACTAGAAACAACCCAGGATGGATAGATAGCCATTTATTATTACAATAGACTACTAATCAACAACAAATACTGATACACACAAATATGAGTAAATTCCACAAACATGAGTGAAAGAAACCAGACTCAAAAGAATGATGGCATTTATATGAAGTTCAGGAACAGATGGATTGATCTTGGTGAGCGAGGCCAGAGAGGTCAGAATATTACAGGACAATGATGTACTATTAAAAAGACAAAAAAAAAAACAACAACCCAATAAAGTTACTGAGAAACGGATATTTGAGTTATTCACAACAATGAAATTTCTCTTGTGTTTCCAACCTTTGCCTTTTAATCTAGTCCACCAGCTGCCCTACCAGAGAAAGATGAGGCTTTCTGTTTCTTCAAAATTGAGTCAGTCTTGAAAACACTATACAGGGTGGTTGTGAGTCAGAAGTGACTCAATAGCACTTAACAACAACAACTGCATTTAGTTTATGATGTCTTCAAAACACACAGCCTCATTATACCAAGTTATTAAAGTTTATTTCTTGAGGCCTTGAACCTGACTCTGCCTGGGATTCGTATCATTTATTTAATTTTACTGTATTTCCTTATTTGTTTCCTATCAATCATGGAGCTAATTGAGTATTGTTATAGGTATATAAGAAGTTCTGGTATGGCGCTGTGGGCTAATGCACTGGATTGCAAAGTCACTTTGAACTGCAAGGTTGGCAGTTCAAGCTTACCAATCGTTCCTCAGAAATCCTATACAGGGTTGCTATGAGTCAGAACCAACTTAACAACACTTCAGAACAACAACAACAATGTTAGGTCCCAGGAAGTTTTGCTTCTGACCCAATTTAAAAGATACATCTTCAACACAGAAGTTTATCTTTTTATATTTGGTGGAATGTAAAGGTTTGGTTTTAATTTTTTACTTTACTCAACATATTGTAAATTTTCTTTTTCAATATTATTTTCTTCTTAATTTTAAATGCTTTCTTATGATCCCTTTTGCTTGCTTTATTTTTAATAATATTATATTACATTACATTAATGATTAGCTACATCTCAGACTCCTTAGGTTATACCCCTGAAAACTGATGACACATTAGTCCTGCAAGGGAACCATGAATGAATTTCCCAAAAAAGGGAAAATGCTCTGGTCATGGCAAACTTAACTACAAAAATTAAAAATTAAATGCCAAACCTAAAAAATATTCCAAAAGTGAGTCAAAAACTGCAATTGAAGAAATTGAAGAATTTAAACATGCAATTGAAGAAATTCTATTAAAAAACTAGCAACAGACCAGTAAAGTAAATCTACAGTAAACAGAAGAAAGGAAATAATAAAGATTAGAGCAGAAATAAATGAGATAGAAAACAGAAAAACTCAACAGGACAAGAAGCTAGTTCTTTGGAAGAATTAATGAAATTAACAAACCATTGGAAAACCTAATGAAAGAGAAGGAGAAGATGCAAATAACACACGTAAGGAACTACATGGGTGATGTCACAACAGAACCAATAGAAATAAAAAGGATAATAATAGAATATTATGAAGAGTTGTACTCCAACAAATTGGAAAACCTAGAGGAGATGGATACAGTTTTAGAAAACATGACCTACCTAACTTACATAGAGTGAAGTAGAAAACTTGAACACACTTACAACAAAAGAAGAAACTGACTAGGTTATCAAAGAACTCCCAACCAAAAATAATCCAGGTCCAGATGGCTTCACTGGTGAGATCTGCCA